AATATGGACCTTTAAAATTAAATAAAGATTAATTATATATTTTTCTGTTAAATAAAAGATTTTTATAACATCCAATCGAAACTTTGGTTTTCTTTCTCTATAAAACTGAACAGTGACTGTGGCAGTAAATTTTCATGATATTTTGAAATTTATAGAATTGTGCAGTTGTTGTATGTATAGGTACCTAATGTAAAAAGGACATCAATTAGTACGTTCTTCTCTTTCTATAGACGTCTTGATGACTTGCTTCTTTTTCATAGGTACAAACAAGAAGCAAAAACAAACAAAAAACAATTGTGAACGTGATTGTTTCAAGGAGCGTTCACCTTTTTCCTTATTCGTTGTGTCACAGAACAATCGTTGTTCTAAAGGGGTTAAAGTACGTTTGCCACCACAAAATAAACGTCATTTTGTTGGCTTCCGGATGTAAACGCGCCTCATGTTAGAATAAAACTGTCGTCGTGAAACACCGTGTTGTCAGTAACAAAAGGAGTTCAAAGACAAGAAAATTCCGGTACATTTGTAAATACAACGAAAACAATAAACCATTTTAGGATATTTTTAGGTGAATATTTTAACAATGGAAACAATAGCAAGTAGATTGTCATATAAATATACGCAAGCCGAAAATTTAAAGTCACAGCCAACCTTAAAAGGTTATAGGGGTTCAAAGTTAATAAATATGCCAATTATTATACATTTCTAGGCATGTAAATATTTATATAGTCATTCTTAAACAATATTCAAAGGTAAAACTAATGGAAAAATACATAAAGATATTGAGAAAGTTGTATAAAACATTATTTAAATAACTTTATCAATAGGGTAAGTTAGGTTAGGTTATAAAGTTCGACCCTCCACCTCCACCCGCTTGAAAATAATTTTTTCATTGAATTTTATTTGAATTATAGTGTATGAAAATTGTCAAAATAATCAACTTTCCACCCCCATAACTTTTTATGAGGGTGAGACCGCCACGAACTTTTTATGGTACAGAAGTGGGGGAGACCTCTTTCGATCCCACCCCGCCATCATCTAGACGTTTACCATTGTTTCTTACCGGGAGAGTTACTGTATCTACATTCGAGGAAGTAATTGTATGCAGGATATATAAATTTTAATCGTATAAGCGCACGTTTAATAATAATAATGGTAGATCTATAACATAACTATTAATTTTTTATTATTTTTCTCCCAGCGTTATATATTCCGTTATAAACAGTTTTAATTTTTTTTTTTTATATAATAACGTTAAATTGGTCTGTAGAAATTCAGGATCTGAATAAAAGTGTGTCAAGAAGCTGTATAGCCGAATGTCCAGTTAACTGTTTTGATTCAGATATCATATATTACGAAATCGTTTTATTAGGTAGGTATATCTACCTACCTGCAGAGAGCCAAGACCATTAGAATTGGAAAACCAACATAAATTTACTTTGCGGCGTGCTAAGCAGGTTCGTAAATTAATTGCGTCAATTTACATCTTACTTAGCCAATGTCATGCGAAGAGCCAAAACATATTTGTTTTCTATATATAAGTACCTACTAGTAAGGAAGAAAAAAACAGTTTGAAAACCAATAAGTACTAATGGCTCTTGAGGAGGTGTCAAAATGATAGATAATAATTTACTATGTGATATTTCATGCAAAATTGTATAATGCATTTTTTATTTGGCGCATTATTACGACAACAAAACTATATAAGTGAATGCAAGATATAAACAAAACAAGATTTTATTTCCGTTATTCAGTAATGGAACCTTTGGATGTTTCATTCCCACCAGTAGTACCTCTGACTTAATACTCTAATGCAAAACTGGAACGGTGATGCCGAATTCCCTTCCGCAGGTAGTTTTGGTTAAAATATATATGTCGAATTCCCTCCCGTTCATATCAGCTGCGATTATTAAGTTAACGACTACTTACCGATTTTATTTATCTAAAATAAATATATATTTATAGGGCACTTCAGTACATCAGTAAATTAAAGATAAAATAATTTCAGAAAGAAAACACATATCAGTTATGAAATGTTTATTTATTTAATTTTAAAATGATTTCCCACTACCTGAACACACTCAATGTTTGGAAATTCGTGTGCGTCTAGCTTTTTGATGCAATCATCCAGAAAAACTTTATTAGTTTTAGTTTGTCTTGTATTTGACCAATAGAAGGGTAGTCTGATAAAATTATTATTGTTATTGTGGTGCCTATAATATATGAATAATATTAAGATTAATATGTAATGTGAGGCTGTGTTATTTAAACAACTCTTTATGACTTTATAGTGGTTATTAGCACTCAAGGTCTGCCGCCGTTGGGAGGCAATTGATGTATAATTAGGAGGGAATTCGACATACCGAAAATTTTAACCCTAATTAAAAACAGGTATATGGGAGGGAACTAAGAATTATCCAACCGGAAGGTGGAGCGGATGGCCCTCTCCAGCCTTCTTTTAGGCGAGTCCACCACCCAGAAATTCGAATGAGTATTTAGAGGTTCAGATTCAGATTCTAACAAAATTTTCCACATTTTGGCAAGCCGAAGGGTCGTCCTAGTCAAAATTGAAAAATATTGGTGGGACTGCGGTCAACCAGATGATCAAACGTCACACTTCCATGACACATGATACCTGCTTTACACAAAATTATACTTTTAAGAAATGCTTATGACGTTTTAGCCATTGGTTGGCTTTCAAAATCTTCTAAGTGGAACAGAAACATTGAAAGTAGGAAATTACCTTTACTTAGCGCTGCGACATATTATATATTATAGATATAGTATATGAATAGATATGTGCATGTAACATTGCTATTATCTAAAGACTGCAGGAGTTGTAAACAGGATTATAATTAGTATACCACTCGTTATCCCTCGTGCAATTAAATGAGCAAGGAATAAGTAGCTACTAAGAAACTTGTGTTATGCAGTTAGGGTTTCCTGTTTCGTGGAACAATTTCTACCGCAGCGGAGGAAAATTACTTGATATATAAGCCATAAGAACGGATTATAGAAGTACTTCCCGGAAGAAGCAGATGGTTATGAGATTATCTTTTCGTTTTACTTCATTAATAACAAAACGTGACGTACTTGTATGTACATGGGCTTATTGTTTCATAGGCGTGCAATTATGAACAAATTGAGCTATTATTGTAGGTGGATTATGATAGGAAAAATGGGAATTAATAAACTCGTATGTAGAAATTCCGGTTTCACAGGAAACTGTTTTAACTTCAAGTACATTAACATTTGCGTTAACTTTAAAATATATTCATCATCATCATCATCATCATAAGGTCATCAGTCCTAAGACTGGTTGGACACGTACCTCCACTCTTTCCTATCCTGAGCTAAACTTCGCATTTCCCTAAAACTAGAACAGCCCACATCCTTAACTATTTGCGAA